AGGCAGGCAGGTGAGCAGTTAGGAGCCAGCGGTCCCAGATTGTGAGAGGTATGTCTGACTGCTGGTTTAGGCCCAATCCCTATCGGGCCTAAACTGGCAGTCGGACATCCCCCAAGGGGTCCCAGATTGGAGAGATTCAGGCTGGGCTGAGGGACACCCTCCCCCAGTGCATGAATTTCACGCACCGGGACTCCAGTAGAAGTATAAAAGGGCAGCTGGGAGCTGTGCTATGACTCTGAGACTGGCCTTTGCGAGGGGCCTGTCTTCCTTGCACCAGACCGGAGACTGGTCTCCCGTGCTGCCCATGGCATTGGCACCTTGTGCTTTAGGTGGTTTAGGTGCTGGCTCTCAGACCTCAGAGCACACGAGGCTTCCCTGGGGCAGATTTCTGGGGCCACCCCCAGGGTTTCTGAGTCAGAAGGTCTGGGGTGGGGTTGGGGAGGGGGGTTGCACATTTGCCTCTCTATAACTTACTAGGCGTTCCGATGCCCTTGGCCAGGGGCCATGGCCACACTTTCAGAAGCTCTGGGTCAGTAGAAAGACATCAACATAAAAAGGCAGTTTGCACCCAGCCAGCGTGGCTCAGTGGCTGAGCACTGACCTATGAACCAGGAGGTCACGGTTCGATTCCCGGTCAGGGCACAGGCCCGGGTTGCGAGCTTGATCCCCGTGTGGGGCGCACAGGAGGCAGCCGATCCATGATTCTCTCTCATCGTTGATGTCTCTGTCTCCCTCTCCCTTCCTCTCTGAAGTCATTATCCATACATATTAACAAGGCAGCGCACTCCCACCTGGAGAACTGGAGCCCAGCTTCATACTTGACGGGGACAGCGACACTGGCCTCGTTGTCGGAGAGGGTTTCCGGAGGCTCCTCGCTGTCACTGGAAAACACACGCACATCAGACAGACACACCCACGCCCTTCCCGGCACTGCCGAGCGTGCGGCAGAGAAGCGCCGGCTGGTACCTGAGTAAAAGCACAGAGAAGCTCAACCCCCGAGTTTTCAGTGGGGCGAGGAGGGAGCAGAGGTGACGGCGGAGCAGCTGGGGTGACAGCCACAACGGGTCCGTCCCGCTTCTCAGACTCCAGGGAGGGTAATGACTAGAACCCTTGGATCCATTCTTAGATTCAAGATCTTGGGCTTCTCTCCTAGGAATACGGGCTTCCTAGGTCCAAGTTGGGGTGCAGAACTGCTATGTATTTCGCAGGCCATTCTTATTTATCAGAGATGAGGGCCTTACAGAGACACCACCGGGGTCACCCGACTGAGAGCAAATCTAAAATCTCTGTCTTCACTTCACAGTCTTTCCACAGCGAGCCCTTGACGCTCACAGTGTCTATTAGATGCTTACTCATCCCCTGGATTTAGTTATCATGTCAATGACACGCTCTGTACACACATGCAGACAGGTGTATACACACACGTACATATACCTGCACCTCACAACCCCCTGTATTACGAAAGCACGGGCGAGTGACTGAACAGTTCCCATCGCTGGCCCTGGGCCAGGCTTCGTGGGCTGTTCTTGCACGTGGACACACCGTGGGCAAGTCACTGACTCCCTGCGTCTGGGTTTGCTCACCTACACAACGGGGGCTGCATTTAAATAACGGGTGACTGAGGAGGGACAAGTGTGAAGTGCTCGACAGGAAATGTAAGTGTCCGCCTTCATCACTGTGCTTGCTGTCACAGCCGCCTCCCCAGGCGGACGGGAGCCTAGCGTTGGTCTCCGGAGGTCACTGAGGGCCTCACTGCCTCTGCCTTGTTCCCAGCGCACTGAATGGTTGGAGCCAGTGACGGCGCAGCGACGGCCCCGCTTGGGTAGACACACTTGTGCGACGGGCCTTTTGTTCTGAATCCCCATCGCCCACCGCGTCCCACAGCAGACAGACACACAGACCCCTGAGAGGAGCTCCGCGCCTCCACCTCCCTCTCCACGCCGACATGCAGCCCTCGCCATCACAGGGCAGGCGCACGCTCGCATGTGCTCCTACATCCGCGTGAAACTGATTTTCCACTGACCCTCCACGCGGCCCGGTGCTCTCCCTCCCTCCGCGCTCGGGCGCGGGCTGCACATCTGGCTGGAAACGCTCCCCCAGCAAACGCCACGGACCCCTGTGCTTGCGAATTGCTACCCTTCCCCTAAGGACCTTCTCCAGGACAAGCTCCCTGACCGGTAGCCCGGGCCCTCCTTGCCCAGGAGGTACGCCTGCCCCCTGCGAACAGGCTCCCACACAGGCTTCTGCTTCTCTCACGGTCTGTCCCATCCTGCCCTGCGTGACGGAATCCACACTCCAGGCTCAGCCTCCTGTGGTGATCTTCACCCGAGGAGAGGGTCGTGCCCTTAGTGACTTTTGCAATCCCTACAAGGACTAATTCAACATCCTGTCCACTGTAGATTTCAAATAAATACTAGTTTTATTCAAGTGAGTTGTGCACCCAGAATTAATCTATTAATTTATTCTCTCATTTATTCGTCCACTCTACGTGTGTGTGGTGATTATGACAGGCCAGGCACCATGGTGGTTCCTTGGAATAAAGCAGCAAGAGGCAGAATTGTATCTCAGGAGCCTCGGGTCCACGGGGCGATTACACTTGGGGGAAGGTAAGCCACTATTTCCCTTTCCGTAGTAACCCTTTCGCTTTTTTAGTCTATGTTTCTGTGCTGTCCTTCGGAAGCGCTGACTGATGTGGGTGAGATTTATTAAACTACTGAAAGGGGCCATAAAACTAGACCTGCCCAGGGGCTCAGCTGACCGTGATGGGCAGCCAGTGAAAGTTTAAATTAGCAGAGCCTGTGGACTTGTAAATGAATGTGCTGCACTTTGGCAGAGATAAGCGATGTGTGATTACAACATGTTCTGCTAAACAAATGGTTTGACCCAGTTAGAGGATTAAATTGTTTCTTCCAAATAAAAGTGTCCTTATTCTGCTCACACACACATGCACCAACCTTGTTGCACTTAAGTGGATGGTCACATTCTCCATGAGATAGGTCGTGTTAAATTGAAATAATATTTTGAAAGTTACCTATAAAATAAAAAGATACAACTTTAGTTTAGGGCCAGGTTAAGAAAGCATTTGCTTTGATTAAAATATCCAGTTACATAAATGATATTACCTAAACACAAATCATGAAGTTATCTAAGACATACTATCTTTCAAAATAAAAACTCATCACATCTCAAAAAATGGAATAAGATATGATGTACATGTACTTTTCAACATGAAATGTAATATGCTTTGCATGTCAATATTGAATTTAAACACTTTATTACAATTATATTAACAAATATAATTTATACTACCCATAAAGCTTTACCATGAAGGTACAGCCTATTTGTTTTATTATATTACCATAGTCTACAAGATCACAATCATAAACAATGTAATTATGAAATGATCACAATTAAAGTCTCTGATATAAATCTTCAAATATCAGCAACTATCTATACATATGTATTGTAAAATAGAGGGAAAAATACTTGTCCCATTAATTTCATAGTATAAAAAGGTTTTGAATATTTAAGGAATAACAACAACAAAGGAAAACCAAATAAAAGACGTGGCAATTTAGAACAAACTATTAAAAACCAGTGAGTTTTGCTTACAAAAGTTTGCATAGTTAAAATATCACCTCAGGAAAAATGGGAAATGTGTTGTTATGCTGACACTCGGATAGAAGTTAGAAATCGTGCCTGCGCATACATATGAATTATGTAATGCGTGATTCTTCATAAACACCAAAAGGCAGACCAATAGGTTTTTTGAAGACATATGCCAACAGCAGAGTTCCCCAAAATGTTACACATAGTGGCCATATAACCCAGCAATTCCATCCCTAGACTTACACCAAAGAGAATCGAAAACATGTGTCCACACCAAAACCTATACGCAGCTATTCCCAGCAGCATTACTCACAGCGGCCAAAAAGTAGCAACAACCTCGATGCCCATCAACAATGGAATATAATTCGTAAATAAAAAGGAATGAACTGCTAATACATCAATGAACCTTGAAAACATATGTAAGTGAAAGGAGCCAGTCACAAAAGACCACATATTGTATGACTTCATTTATATAAAACTAGAGGCCCAGTGCACGAAATTCGTGCACAGGGGGTGGTGGGGGGGAGGAGGTCCCTCAGCCCGGCCTGCGCCCTCTTCAATCCGAGACCCCTTGGGGAATGTCTGACTGCCTCTCGCAATCTGGGACCGCTGGCTTCTAACCGCTGGCCTGCCTGCCTAATTGCCCCTAACTGCTCCCCTACCAGCCTGATCGCCCCTGACTGCTCCCCTGCTGGCCTGTTCGCCCCTGATCGCCTCTGCCTCAGGCCCACACCCGAAACCCAGGATTCCCTCCTCTGGCCTGTTGCAGGCACCAGGACCTGGGCTTCCCTCCCTCTGGCCAGCCGCAGACACCCAGGAGCTGGGCCAGCTTCGCCCAGGCCAGCTGCAGCTGCAGGAGACCGTGGGCGGGCAGCTTCACCCAGGCCACAGCCACAGGTGCTTGGGACAGAGGGGCAGGTGGCTTGACCCTCTCCCCGGATGCAGGCACAGGCACAGCCGCTGGTGCCGGGGAACGCGGGGGGCAGGAGGGGGGCAGCTTGTCCCTCTCCTGGGCCTCAGCCTGGCTGATCCCCATTCCTCTCTCGCGAGCTCATTTGTGCCTGGCTTGTCCCCATCCCTCTTTCCCCAGTGTTGAGTGTCTGAGCTGTTAGGGCGTGATGGTGTGACGGTGTGATGACCATTTGCATATTAGCTCTTTATTATATAGGATGTCAGAATAGGCAAATTCATAGAGAAGGAAAGTAAATTAGTGGGTGTCCAGGGTTTGGAGAGGGACTTTTGAGGATGAAAGAGTGGCAACTGGTAATGTGTACAGGGTTTTTTGGGGTGTGTGTGTGTGTGTGTGTGTGTGTGTGTGAACATGTTCTAAGATGGATTGTGGTGATGGTAGGACAATTGCCATTTGGGAATATACTAAAATCCATTGAATGGTCCACTTTAACGGACTGAACTGTATGGCATATGAATTATATCTCAATGAGGCCTTTATTAAAAGGAGAGAGATCAGCAGCGTTTCTGTACAAAGTTCTAAACCCCCCATTGGAAATATTACTGCCCCCACAGGTCAGGAAAGCTTGCTACATGGCACTGGAACACGCGGGCTTTCTAGTACCAGGCACGTCACCCCCTTATGTTTGTAATTTTGTCTTGGTGTCTGAGTTTGACTCGTGCCATAATTGCCATAATTGCCTTTGACTTCAAGAGCTCAGCATTTGAACTCGACCCTCATCGCCAGCACCCTGGGCACCATGAGAAGGAACGATCTATTTGGCTTTGAGTGTGTTCTTCACAACCAGTTGCCACTTGCATTGGTACAATCTGCTTACCATCTCTCCTCTCCGCAGGAAAGGGTAGCCCACCTTACACGTGAGGTTATGGTTGGACTCGCAGCTGTCTTTTTGGATCGCCTGGGAAGAGAAGGGAACAGAATTAGAGAAGACGCACAGGTGGATCCTTCGGCTGGGTCTTCTAGAATTTTCCCAGCTGTCAGGTGGGGTTAGTTATACTCTATCCCATTAAATATAAAATGCCATTCAATACGAGCCATCAGCCCGGCTGGTGAGGCTCAGCAGTTGAGCTTCGACTTAAGAACCAGGAGGTCACGGTTTCATTCCCAGTCAGGGCACAAGCTTGGGTTGCAGGCTCCATCCTGAGTAGGGGGCATGCAGGAGGCAGCCAATCAATGATTCTCTCTCAGCATTGATGCTTCTGTCTCTCTCCCTCCCTCTCTCTTTCTCTCTAAAATCAATAAAAATACATTTTAAAAAGTATGACATCATTATTTTATACACCAAGAATAAGAATAAAATATGCTGACAGACTAATCCACACACCATCGACTGTGAAATGCAACTTCAGAAATGCTAACATGTGGAGGAGAACGGTCTGTCTACTTTAGGATCGCTGCTCTATAGTGATACCTCCGCACAAAAGCATGAATGAAATAAGGGAGCCAGGATGGAGGTGGCCGAAGAGGAGATGCCACATTGCGGGTGTTGTGAACAAAGTACTGACTTTGTGTATTGCTGTCTGCTCTCCACCGAGGCCACGAATGAGGTAAGGGCTACACGGCAATATTTCCCATCACGACTTTGCACATCTGTATTTATAACTAACATTCCTAACCGAAAATATGTGGCTGTAACATAGGGCGTGTTTTCAAGCTGGTCTTAGTCATGTGGCTAAGTGATGTCTTAAGAAATGGAGAAAAATATCTGTGAAAATATAATTTATAGGAACTAGACATTAGAATTTTTAAAATATATTTTTATTGATTTCAGAGAGGAAGGGAGAGGGAGAAAGAGATAGAAACATCAATGATGAGAGAGAATTATTGATTGGCTGTGCCTCCCGTACAACCCCTATTGGGGATCGAGCCCACAACCAGGGCATGTGCCCTGACCAAGAATCAAACTGTGACCTCCTGGTTCATAGGATGACACTCAACCACCGAGCTGTGCCAGCCGGACGACAATAGAATTTAGTATTATATATAACTAGAGGCCTGGTGCATGAAATCCGTGCACGGGTAGTGTCCCAAGGCCTGGCCTGCCATCAGGTTCCTCTGCCTCCCTGCCTCCTCCTTCCCTCACTCCCTCAGCACCCTGCTGCTGCTGGTCGTCCGCCATGTTCCGTACTGCCCCCTGGTGGTTAGCACATGTCATAGCGAGTGATAGAACTCCTGTTCTGGTCGAACTCCCAAGGGGACACTTTGCATATTAGCCTTTTATATATATAGATAACTATACTGGCTTTTAAGATGAGTAATACTAAAATTATTATTTCATTTCATGACGCATTTACATAAATACATACAGCATTTAAACTCAGGAGGGTTCATTCGGAGATGGGAATTAAAGCTAAGTTTGCATTTGGAAGGATGTGCTAAGTACTCCTGATGCAGCATCCTATGCAGCTATATGTCGTGGCCAAAATAATTGGAAAACTTCTGGCATGACGAGGAGACAGAGGCATTCACACAGCTCTCTCACCCAGGAAGGACTTTACACAGACAGTGGGAATGCGGCCTTGATTCTCTGCAGGTGAATGTTCCTTCGCTCAAGCCCTGCATTACCCCCCTCCCGGGCATCTGGTGAGCTGTTTTGACTTTGATTGTCATGTTTACTTTTCCCCTCACTCAGTGTGTGGAGGATGCGGTGAGACAGAATTTTGATCCATCCGAGATCCCTTCCTCATACTGCGCCCCAGTGGGGGCACCCATCTCTAAAAAATCAATCTAACTAAAACTCTAAAGAAAATGTGGGCATTGTTATCAGTAGAGACTACTGATTTTATACAAAATGCTTTCTCTCCTTATAAATCAATATAATAAAAACTAGAGGCCCAGTGCACAAAATTCATGCAGGGTAGGGTCCCTAGACCTGGCTGATGAGCAGGGCCAATCAGGTTCCCCCCCTCCCTACCTCCCTACCTCCCCTTCCCTCA